ATATATATTTATGTCAAAGACTGGATGCGGAGGAAGAACTAGATTAATTCCAGGTGCATTGCCATCAGCATTTACTGAGGCCCCAGAAGAAGATGAATCTAATAGGTAAAGAACCCTGCACTTTTCTTGTGGGTTAATCATTCAAAATTTTTAATTTTTCAGTGATGATCTGAACCATGAAGCCTCTGTTGCAGAAAAAGTAAGTGCAGAATTAAAAAACATGTAAGTAACTAAGTACTTTTTAATACAGCATAAAATTTATTTTAAAATAATTACTACTACCTATATCTTTTATAAACCACAAAAATTGACAATAATTATTTTGTATTAAATGTACCTATGTTCTTTAATAGTAGACTACTAGTAGTTAAGAAATAAGCAAAATCGAATGTGAGTTTTTCAATAAAAAAATCATTTTAAGCTTCTCTTATTTGCACTTCTAGTCTTTAAGAAATAATCGAAGCTTAAGACAGTTTTCCAATAAAAATGAAGCTTTACTTATTTGTTAACGACTAGCAGTGCAAATGTACCTAAGTATCTAAGTATTAGCTTGATTTCTATTTGTAGTATATCGTTTAGTTATCTATTGAACATTGGTTATGAACAATATTTTTATATTTAATAAATTATTGGAAAAAGTTATTGTATTGTAATTCTCGTACACGTGTGTTAAGAGATATAAATATTTCCCCTCATAACGTAAACAAACTCTATTGAATGCGGACTCTATGAAATATATATGCTCGAAGATGGCAACTCAATTCAAAATTGTAACCTGCCAAATCTGGTCTAATTGTATCACCGTTTGTTTATATTTGAACGGGAGGATATTCTACCTGTAATTATTGATTTTAATGATGATAGAGATAGTGATTTTTATTTTATTTATTTATATTGGAACTACTACTTCCGAAAGCTTCTAAAATTTATATATAGGTTTAATGAATTAATTATTTAAATAAGTGTCCAAAGATGGAGGTCAAATTAAACATTAGTTTTTTATAAAATGTTTGTTTCTTGAGATCCTCGAATTTTGTTGCAACGTGGCAACGTCTACTTTCATAGTTTATAACGTGAATTGAAAATAATTTTATTGCTTTTACTATAATGCAGCTTTCCTTTAATTTTAATTTAGGCGGTAACATCAAAAAACTGTTAGACATCAAAAAACTGTTAGCAATAAAAATTTGTTTGCACAAGAATTGCAAAAAATATCGAATTAAGTACAAAGTTACAAACTCATTAACTATAGATTTAAATTTTATAAGGGAAATGTCATTAAGCAGAAGGTATAAAATAAACCTATATAAAGAACATATATTTTATATTGCAACACTCTCTCGTCGCCCGTTTTCTCTACTCAACTATTCCTGCAATCCAGGACTAATAAAAAGAGGCAAAGTCCAGAGACAGACGAACGCGGAGATACGAGATACCTTATATCAGAACAATGCAAACATTATTTTTTGTGGGTATGTGCTCTTTCGGCATGTACATATTATTTATGATTTTATGATTTACATTAATAAGTAGATTAATCACATACTTTGATTTTCTTTTACTATACGGAGAATGGTCGCACTGCGCAGCTTTCTGAATGCCTTTTAAAAGGAGATAGAAAACTCCGCCATTTTGATCCCTTATTACGTGTTACCCACATTTTGGCGCAATATTTTTAATAGGTGCGTTTTAATCATCCGCTTCTGCTTCAGAATTGTCGGTTTTCTTGTTTTAATCTGACAGGTTAAAACGACTAAACCAACAATTCCGGAAGCAGAAGCGGATAATTAAAACGCACCTGATATTTTGCTTGCTGCTGTCAGTGTCAGTGAATATTATTTTTGGAGTCACAGTTTATTGCTAAAGAATCAGTTAGCTCACTCGGACCAGTTGAAAGTTCCAAAATAACATCCACTCCAGGGATACAAATTCAGGATACGCAGAAGACTGCTGTTTTATTATAGGCGGTTGTCATATATTGATTATCCGAGTTGCGCAATGTATAAACTGGAACATTGAGATCAAAAGTGCCGACGCAGAGTGAGCGATCTGATTCTTTAGCTATAAACTGTGGCATAGGAATCAAAATGGCCGCGCCCTAAGTTGGGCGTGTCGGACCTCTCGCTTGCACCGTATAGTAATCAATATGTGAGATTAATAAATTAGTTAATAAATTCTGACGTTCTCCATTCTTTTGAAACTTCAAATTATTAAAAAAAATCTGATGTGTCCATCACATGACTTTCCTATATATCTAGTTATTGTAGGCTTTTTCCGGTTATTTTGTACAACCTATTGCAGCATCTGTATAAATGTTTCGAGGATAAACTAAATATATACATTGTCCACATACATCTACCTCGAAACATTTTTCTATAGATATTCATTGAAAACGAAAATACTGAAAAAATTAAATTTAGCACTTTTCCATTACGGTCCATTTTAGAAAAATCATGTATAAACAAAAATTATAGAGAACGATATCGCAAACAACTTTTAGTTCAACAATTTTCATACAAATCAGAATTTTGCACATTTTGTCAAATTTCTCGAATACGGACCATTTCAGGAAATTTTGACATAAAACAAAAATTACAGATAATAATATTAGAACAATTTTCTTCTCCAAACATAAATAACAGATATATTCCATAAAATGTAAAAACGGCCTCGTATAAAGTACCCCTCCAGATGTTCCGACTCTGCTCAAAATCTAATCAGTTCATTAGACGCTGGAATAAAGCTTAAGTTTAAAATTTGGTGTTTTTCTGTGTATCGGTTCATGAGTTATGCGACATACAGACACACACACACACACACACACACACACACACACACACACACACACACACACACACACACACACACACACACACACACACACACACACACACACACACACACACACACACACACACACACACACACACACACACACACACACACACACACACACACACACACACACACACACACACACACACACACACACACACACACACACACACACACACACACACACACACACACACACACACACACACACACACACACACACACACACACACACACACACACACACACACACACACACACACACACACACACACACACACACACACACACACACACACACACACACACACACACACACACACACACACACACACACACACACACACACACACACACACACACACACACACACACACACACACACACACACACACACACACACACACACACACACACACACACACACACACACACACACACACACACACACACACACACACACACACACACACACACACACACACACACACACACACACACACACACACACACACACACACACACACACACACACACACACACACACACACACACACACACACACACACACACACACACACACACACACACACACACACACACACACACACACACACACACACACACACACACACACACACACACACACACACACACACACACACACACACACACACACACACACACACACACACACACACACACACACACACACACACACACACACACACACACACACACACACACACACACACACACACACACACACACACACACACACACACACACACACACACACACACACACACACACACACACACACACACACACACACACACACACACACACACACACACACACACACACAATCATCGCGAAAATAGTCAAAATGGATTCAGGGGACCTCAAAACGTAAAATTCCGTCGAAAACTCGGGGTCGAAAAAAATCATGATTCCTATACTTTCCTTATATCTGTATGCAGATAGGAAAGTAAAAAAACAAAAATTAAAAACCACGGCAGCGCCTGTCGGCGCCGGTAGGACCCGTGCCTGTCAGCCCTAGGACTGACGACTGTCGACGCTACGACCGGCGCTTGTAGGGCCGGCGCACCGGGAAATCTACCGGTTTCCCGGTGGGCCCTTCCGTCCCTGGGCACCGCTAAGCATTTGTTCAGTGTACGTTGTGTTGCCTATTTACGTGTAGAATGAATACGGGGCAATGTATTTTTAATATCTCAATTATCGTTTAAAAATTAAGGGAAATAGGTTGAATTATCCTTTCTCTATGGTTTGAATATTAGATATGCAACTAAAATATTCAGATAAGTCTACATTTTGTTTTAATAATGACTACCTTTCTACTGAAAATAAGCATGCGCCAAGTTACTTTGGCGCACGAGTACGCCAATAATGATAAATTATGACAAATCGCGAAAAACTTTCATCCAGTTAGATTTGAATGTGCAAAATCCTTTGTCGAAGACTAATTTTTCCCAATGAGTCGTTGTTTTTGAGATATAAAAGTGTAAAGCTAAAAATTACACTTTCCCCCTTTTTCTCCCTTTATATAGACATGCAGCTAGGTTCGGACATTTTTAATACTTTTATATACTTCCAGACTACTACAAATATATCTAAAAAAAAATATTCCTAAGTTCTATTTCCATAATTATGGGACCATTGCGGGACAAATACCTATGGACTATTTGATCTCTATGAAAAGTACCTATTAGACTGGCCCAGGGGCTATAACACAAGCACATCGATAGTGATGAAACATCTCGCCAAAATAATGTCTTTAATTTTTTGCCGCTGGTGAAAAAAAAATACCTATGAGGATTCTGATACTAAAAACTTAAAGTATAAATGATATGTTGGTAGATTACGTAAACGCTAAAAATGACTTTTCATCATGCGACCATAGGATTTTAGCAAAATGATATCAAAATAATACCTTAATTATCGGAACTTATTCGATTTATTTTTGTTTGAAGCGGATTAACAATTATTCTAGGCACGATTTCTAGGCTGTGATTCTAGACAATTCTAGATCTAGATATCTTTCCATGCGCTGTCATGCTGTGAATAAATAAACCATCTTTATTCCCAGTATAATGTTAAAAATAACGACACCACTGTAGACATTTTCGATTTTACTATTGTTCCGTATCTAAATTTCAAAAGTGACAAGCAAAAATCAACAAAAAATAATTCAATACCAAAAATTTAATTCGAAATAAGTGGAAATTGATTTATGATTTTTATTTTCTCTTTTTGCCAAGGGCGCAAAAATGCGTAAACTTCTCGTTCTCGAAATTTCGCGCATCGATCCGTCTCTGATCTTCGTTGCGCGTTGCTACACTGCGCAATTTTAAGAACCATTTGTTGGCCGGCCTGGTTGGAGCAAGGTGAGGTTTTGCATATGTTAGAATTAAATTTAATTAATTAATTCTCATTTAAAATACACCATCTTAGTTTGTTCTGTGCCGTTTTTAATGTTCTTCGATTGTGTGTTTTAATTAGTAAGCACGGCGTTCCTGATAATCTTGTTTTTTACAGATTTTTTTATTGTTGGAAGCCATTAGCCACTTGCTCTAGATATTTACTGCAATCATGCAGTACAACAGCGTTTACCACAATAACACAATGTAAGTATACATTATTTTATTGTGCAAGTTTTAAATTTGTTAAAATGTTAGCCAGCGCTAGTGATTTATTAGAAATTAAAATTATAAATTCCCAGATCATGAGCCACCATCTTGAATCTGTAATCGGTCGTTGCTAAAACGAGTGAAAACCCTGCCCACGTCAATATTAAATGTAATTAAAATGGTTTTTATTGTTTCTGTAGAAAATATGATAAATGATACTTTCAATAGCTGATAAATTAAGAATTGCAACGTTTTAGTAATTTGTTCAGTAAATTGTGATGAGAGTTGTTTTAAATACTGCTGTTTCGTCATTTTATTTTCAAATGCCTGATAGTAATGGAAAAATTCGCTAAGACTCATTTTCCACAATAAATACAATGGTACAATTATTCTGAATTAATTAACCCTTCGTTAGTTGAGTATGGGTCTGTCAGCCCCACTTTGAAAAATTATTATGACATTGTAGTTCTTTGACATCTTAGAGGCATTATTCTAAGAATAGTTTGCCTAAATTATTTTTATTTCCTTGCAAAAGGTCTATTAGTAGTGTCGGGTACACCTAGTTTATGACTGATCCATATGATGCAAATAATCACATGCTAATTTATATTTGAATCGACATGAACAGTAAAAAATGTCTAGAAGAAAGTGCCATTGAATCTGGATAATAATAAAATAACCAAAAATATATCTTTCATTTTATAAGTAAATAAAACTTATTGCATGCATTATATTAAAGATTTTTATATGGTACCTACTTATTTTATAGAAGTAAAATACCTATATTGTTTTATAGAAGTAAAATACCTATATTGTTTTATCACCACACAAGAGATAAATTGACAAAGAATAAGATTATTTTTTTAAAAACGATTAAAAAATTGGGCATTTAATACTCCTGGCATCATGGGTCAGGCAGACCCAACACAACTAACCATGTTTCATAAGCATATGTGCCTAATGAAGAGTTAAACACTTAAATTATAAAGTAAATAAATTATGATTGCCCATATCAAATTTTCAATATTATGTAGATTCAACAATTCATTTATTTGGAAGAAAAGGGTTACATAACTTCAATTTTGAGATTTACATGTTAACATCTTAATTTAGCTTTTATTTTGAAAGCAAACTTCAAATTTTTTATCAGGTATATATCAAGTTGTAACAAAAACAAGATCATAATTTTGTGAAGATATATTTTGTATTTTCGCTTTCTAAATAGGTAATTTGGTAGATTTTTCATAGTAATTTCTATGGAAAAAGGTGACAAACAGAATTGTTATAAAAAAGGTAAAAACAGTTTTCTAAATTTTCAGAAAATACTGATATCCTACATAACATTAAAATACTTATAAAAACACTATAATAACAATTGGCAAATAATTTTAATTTGTACTGTAAAATTATGATTTTTGAGATAGGTATAAGCATCTTATTTCAAATGAATGTATTCTAATACATTGTCTATTATGAAAAATGTATTAAATGCAATGAAAATAATTGTCTTTTATTACTAGGTACCCAAGGAGGAGGTACACCTACATTTTTTATGTGTTCAATACTATCTTTCCTTTAAATTTATGCAACAATATGAATTTATCGTAATAATATATTGTCCAGGAGTAGTTATATGGTATTTTATTTCAAATATCTTATATAAATCTATTCTACACACCTTGTGTACTAAGACAATATATGTTTTAATGATGACACTGTGTAGGAGTTAAGTTTATTATTAAGTTTGCTACTAACAAATTTATACAAAAATCCCAAGTTACAGAAATGTGTTTAGTGTAGTACTGGAAATACTATATATTTTTTTCTTGTGAAAATTTGTTATACTTGATTCAGGCAAGTATAGACTTTGGTCTATGTCAGTTGGCCCATCCTACTTTATTATTTTTACTTATTTTTAGTTTTTTTCAAAGTAATACTAGAAACAATGTATTTTTGCAGATATTTGTTATAATCTACCTACTTGAGAAACAATCTACCTACTTGAGAAACAATACAAGGTGTAACAAAACGTTAGGTCATAAAATGTAAGATATTCTGGAATCAAAACTAAACCTAACTTACCTATATTATAAAAGTGCTTACAAAAAAGTTATAGGCATTTTGAGTTACAACCCAGACAGCACATAAATATTGTATAAATATTCATACTCCTATATTCCATGGATATGCCATATCCGCCATGGCATATGACAGGAAAATTGCAGGAATATTCAAGGTCACTATGAAAGATATACCCATGTTATGTTTTTATCTGTCAAAATATTATGTATGGGATATTCTCTGGTTTTACTGAGGATATCTATGTATGCCTATATTCATGGCATATTGAAATTATATTTTTTGTAATGCAGTACCATAGTTTAGAAAATAAAACTCATACTTAATACAAAATATATTTTATTTGAAAAAATAAAGCAAATATTCTAAAAAATAAAAATAATACATACAAAAAAACTATAAATTTAAATTTTTTATCTGCCAATGTTCTTCAACTACTTTTCTCCTAAAAAATTATATATGAAATATGTATATGTAATACGAGATATTTTATAAATTATTCAAATTTACATTTCGAAGCTTTTAATAATAAGTGTTAGAATTGAGATGAAAATATCAGTATAATAGAAATATTTCAAAATCTTAGTGACACACATTAGAGTAATACTTCTATAGCATCTTTGGGTCACTTTAGTTATAGTAATGGCTTCCTCTATATTTTCCTTAGCCGTTTGTGTACTGTGGGTTTTTTAAACATTTCTAAAAAAAAAATTACATGGTGTCTTGTCTGCAATTTTATTACGAATAGCCAATATTTTAATTTCCTCTAAACTGTTATATTGATCAGTTACTTTATTACTAACAATAATTAATTGGCATTAGATGTCTTTGAACTAATATTATCCTTTACATAGAGATATGTTAAAATATACTCAGATTCTTGAATTCTACTCGAATTTTTTTCTGGTGAAAAGAATAATGGTATTTTCTCAGGGGGGATATCGCGCATGTTGTCATGGCGGCGCTGACGTCATGCGTAGAGTTAGTAGAGCTGGCGTGAAATAAATATCATATGACAGACGCATGTTGCAGTAGTTTGTGAGTCGTTTATAAGATACTAAGCAGATATTTGTATTATATTGTGTTGTAAACTTTATTCTCTGTGAGTGGTTTTAATAAAAAACATTGAAAAATTGCAGTACGGATGTAACAGTAACAATTAAAGGAAAGGATTCAAGAAAGATATTACGGTTTCTCGCTTTCCTCGACAGTAAGAGCTTAGTTAGAAGTAGCCCAAGGGCGGCTCCAGCGGAGGCCCAGGGGAGCATGCCGTTCCCTAGATTAAAATTCTTAAAATCCATGAGCATTTTATTAAAAAAAAAATATGCTAAATAGGCAATTCTACCATCCTTCCCAAGAAAATTCGGCATGGAGCAGCCCTTGCAGTGGCTTGTGACCCTGCAGATAAATTTTCATATGTATTCCAAGCACTTTCAACCTTCCAATTATAAAAGAGATCTTAAATCAGAACTTCACATAATGAACCAGTGTGAATCACAATGGTTAACCCTTTAGCGGGCAGTGGTTGGTATTTAAACCACTTAATTTTTCTGCTTGTACGATTTAACGCGCAGGCTGAATTTAGACCAGATCTCTGCTAGACACTTACCAGTAACGTTTTCATGCGAAATATCAACCCGTAATAAAATTTGGCGCGCTATTTAGTGCACGTCCCAGCTTCGTCCCTAACAAGTGGTCGAATATCTGCCTCTGTACGCATACAGTTAGTTATTATTTGTTTATTTGGTTGTGTATTGAAGTACTGATTTACTGTTTTTTTATTTTAAAAATAAATGTTTATATTCATTATTTTTTTTTTTTTGTTTTGAAAAACTGAACTAGTCGATATTTTGAGTACCACGATTCGAGCCCAAAGTGTGCCATCCTGAACGTACGCTGGTCGAAAAATTGACCACCTTCTACAACTCAAAGTTCAAACTTGTAATTTTTTTAAGACACAGTAATATACTTAGTTTTACTTATATAACCCACACATATCGTTATTTTTTGAAAACCTGGCAAAAAATAGTTTTGCGCGTTAAAGGGTTAATCCACAACTTGGGACTTTTAAACTGGAGACTCTACCCTTTGAAGGCTAAAAATTTCGCAATATAAGCAAAAATAAAATTGTAAATGTTACAAAAAAAAAAAAAAAGAAAATTTCGACTTGTACTTGATAAATGATTTAAAAAACTGCCAGCCACTAGGTCCAGGAAAAATGCAGCGACATATTATTTTAATTTTGTATTGTAACAGTTATTTGTATTTGGTACATTTTTTATGTTTTGCATTATATTATATGAATGTCTGCATTATATGAAAAAAAAAAAAAAAATTAACTTATTTTTATTCAATTGGGTAAAATAATGCAGGTATATCCAGATGTGAAATTGTTACCAGAATCCCCAGTTTCGAGTTGCGAAGATACCCCTTATTTTATTATCCTGGTTATAAAAACTATTCTTTAGAAGTCGAATTTGTATAAACAAAATAAATCATTAAAAAAAAAAAAGAAAAAACTGTTTAAAAAAATATTTCTTTTATGTATGTATTTGCATTTAAGTTCCTTCATAGTTCTTTCCTTAACTATCCCATAATAATATCCATAGATATTTCATGTAATTTCTAAAATATTTTCCTCACACTTCGTTAGTATTTTTAAATTCGCGCCTATACAAACTCTACGCGTGACACCATGCGCGTGGCCGTCCTATTTTTGACACTGTTGATATCCTACCTTTTATTTTTTATACCATGGTATTTTCTCAGAAGGTTCAGTAAGAAGCTTACATTTTACATTCCATTGAAGCTAATGCTCTATGATTATTTGAGAATAAAAGAGACTCTTTTACCAATAATTGATTTACACTTCTTATAAAATATTTATTCATGTTTATAATTTTAAGCACTATACTGTT